ATGATTTTCCACAATGATATTTTCACCATCATCATCATTTCCATACATTATAGATGTGAAGGCACTGTCTAGTTCATCATCGGAATCACTTTCATCATCTCTTGGCAACTCAATGTCATCGTCATTTTCTACAGGCTCTTCAGACAAACGCACCACAAGTTCGTCATCATCATCAGATGACAAGAACCCTTTGGGATTTCTTTTCATTTTTTTGATGGTCTTCGGCTTTATTAAATTCTTGCCTTATTTAATTTTTGGTTTCTGTACTGGTAGGAACTTGGCCGACCTTGAATATAGACATTTACCTTCCTATAAAGACAAATTACCTTATAAACATCTCAAATTGAACTCTACAACATTATTTGTGATATAGATCATGATGGTAAGGTTTCATAGAGTGGTCATTTTCCAGATTTTCATTCATGTCCCTCAGTTGACTGAATGGTATGTCAGAGTTGAAATCATGAATATGAAAGTTAAAATAAACTTTATAATCTATCTCTACTCATCGAATGGAGCATTTTCATGTATATTTTGTTGATTGAAGTGATGTATTTGATTGACTTGGTCTGACTTGTCTTTCTCTAAAGTCAACCATAAAATATCAACATTTACCTTCCCATGATACCATTTCTGATTTTTATGATATGAAATTGAATTCTATATCATTATAGATCATGTACATCATTTTGGTAAAGTTTCAATAGGTGGTCCTTTTTCAAGATTTCATCCTTTTCATCCCTAGTTGACCATGATGGTTGAGGGAAGAAATCTTTAAATATGAAAGTTAAAATAAATTTGATATTCGATGTTTACTCATCAAATGGAACATTTTCATGTCAGGATTCAATATGTTTTGATGAGAAACTCAAAAGTTATAGTCGACCTCTTTTACCTCACAACTTCCCTTTTCACTTGATACTTTTATATCTACAGACTTGAACTTTTGAAATTTGATATGGAAGTGATTATAAATGTTGTTAATGATGATATAGACTATATAATCTCATTAAAGGATTTTGAAATTATCATTCTTCCTATGGTTTCTTTTTACAAATTTTTAATCTGATATTATTTACAAAGTTAATATTTTATAAATTGAAAAACTAAATATAACACGTTGTTCTACTCATCATTTACAATCGAATGATATAAAATTTAATGATATTTGAATAAGTTTATAATTTTGGGCTAGGGTTTGAAGGTTGGGTTTAGAAGAATTCTATTTTTAGTTCTGGGTTTGGGTTTGGGTTTGGGTTTGGGTTTGGGTTTGGGTTTGGGTTTGGGTTTGGGTTTGGGTTTGGGTTTGGGTTTGGGTTTGGGTTTGGGTTTGGGTTTGGGTTTGGGTTTGGGTTTGGGTTTGGGTTTGGGTTTGGGTTTGGGTTTGGGTTTGGGTTTGGGTTTGGGTTTGGGTTTGGGTTTGGGTTTGGGTTTGGGTTTGGGTTTGGGTTTGGGTTTGGGTTTGGGTTTGGGTTTGGGTTTGGGTTTGGGTTTGGGTTTGGGTTTGGGTTTGGGTTTGGGTTTGGGTTTGGGTTTGGGTTTGGGTTTGGGTTTGGGTTTGGGTTCGCGTTTGGGTTTGGGTTTGGGTTTGGGTTTGGGAATGGGTTTGGGTTT